TCCCCCATGTCCCCACCCCTGTCCCGTTGCCACTCACCCACTCTGAAGCCGGACCCGGTCAGGGTGTTGGCTGCGTGCCTGACCCTGTCCCATCCCTGTCCCGGTGTCCCTGTGCCCATGTCCCCACCCCTGCCCCTGTGTCCCTGTCCCAGTGTCCCTGTGCCCACCCCTGTCCCGGTGCCACTCACCCACTCTGAAGCCGGACCCGGTCAGGGTGTCGGCCGCGTGCCCGTTCTCTCCGATCAGGGTCATGTTGGAGCCGGGCTGACACGAGTCCCGGCACAGCCCCTTCAGACACGTCCTCCGGCAGATCAGAGGGGCGAAGACCACCTTGAAGCGCTCGCGGGCCACGGCCGCGCCCCCCCCGCGTCCCCCCAGCGCCGCCAGCGCCGCCAGCGCCACCACCCAGAGCCCCTCCCAGCGCCACATGGCGACCCCCGACCGCGGGACCCCCGGGACCCCCGACCCCGGCCCCGCGAGGGGCGAGAGCTCAGGGCCGGACGCCAGGGACCCCTCGGGGGGGGGTCCCGGACCCTGGGGTCCCTCAGGAGGTTCTCCCGGAGGCCTGGGACCCTTGGGGGGGTCCCAGATGCCTGGGTCCCCTCCTGGGGGGATCCCAGATGTCTGGGGCCCTCTTGGGGCTCTCCTGAACCCCTCTCAAGGGGCTCCCAGACCCCCTCCAAGCCCCGAGGCCGAGGGTCCCCCTCTGGGGGTCTCCCGGGCTCCGGGATCCCCTCGCAGAATGCGGGGTCTCCTCTGGGGGTGTCCCAGAGGCCGGAGCCCCCCCCGCCGGATGCTGGGGTCCCCTCGGGGATGTCCCGGGCTCCAGGGTTCTCTCGCCGGACGTGGGGTCCCGTCTGGGGGTGTCCCGGACACGGGGTCCCCCCGGTCGGGTCGGGGTGGGGGGGTTTCCCGCCGGACTCCCGAGTTCCCGCGGCCGCCCGGGATGGCGCTGGAATGGGGGGGAGGGACGGGGGGGCCCGGGCGGGGGAGGGGGGCGGGGGCCGGGCCCTGGGTCCGCTCCAGGAATTGGGGGGGGGCGGGGGGTGGGGGAGGAGAGGAGCCCGGATGGCCGGGCCGGTTCCAGCGCCGGGCACAGCCGGGGAGACTTGGGGGGGGGGGGGGGTGGGAAGGAGCGATGGGACCCCCGAAACTCCTGGGACTTGTCCCATGGCCAGGAGGAGACTCCCCCTCGGATGCCTGGAGCCTCCCATCATGGGATATGGGGTCCCACCAAACTTCTGGGACCCTCCCAGTGGGGCCCACCGGAACGCCTGGAACCCCCCCCCATGGGGAAAGGGGGACCCCCCCAAACTCCTGGGACCACCCCATGGTGGGTGGATCTCCCCCCAAACACCTGAGTCCCTCCAGGGAGCGATGAGGACCCCCCTCACAAGGCTGGGTCCCCCTCATGGGGAGATGGGCCCCCCCAAATCCCTGGGATTTCCCCCCAAACCCCTGGAACCCCCCCAAACGACCTCGCAGAGGGCGATGGGGAAGATGGACACCCCAAACCCCTGGGACTCCCACAGGGGGAATGGACCCCCCGGAAGAGCTGGGACCCCCGACGACGACGGGGGTTGGGGGGGGGAGAATGAGACACCCCTCCCAAGAATCACTGGTTCACCCCCAAGGGTGGCGGGACCCCCGACCATGAGGGTCCCCCCGCGCTGTTGGGCCCCCGCCGGGCAGGACGAGGCGGCTCAGGCGGTTTTGGGGTCTCGGGAGTTTATTTGGTCACAGTCGTCCCCCCCATCCCCTCCCCCGGACCCCGTCCAGTGTCGGAACCGCCCGGGGGCGGGGCCTCCGCCGGGGGGCGGGGCTTCCTGAATCCCATCAATGGGGGCGGAGCTTCCTGTTTGCCCGAAGAGGGCGTGGTTTTCCTGCCGTGGTGACCCCGCCCCGGAGGGGGCGGAGCTCTTGTAATGCCCTTTACTTTGACCAATGGGGCGCCTGGGCGGGCGGGGCTTCTGGCACCGCCAGCTGTCCATCACGACCCGGCGGGGGCGGAGCCTCGCGGTGGGGTCGGGGCTTGCACCGCCCTCCCGCTCGTCACGGCCGCTCATTGGTCACTGGAGGGCGGTGGGGGCGAGTCCAGGCGCGCCGCGGGCGCTCATTGGTCGGTGAAGGGGTCGCGGGGGCGGGGCCCGGCGGGGGGCGGGGCCCGGCGCGGTCCCGCGGACACGAAGCTCCAGGGGTCGATGCGGGGGCGGAGGGGTGAGGGGCGGGGCCGGGCGGGGCCTGCGGGAAAGGGGGCGGCTTGAGGGGGCCGTGGGACTCCCGCTGCCCCATGGCCCCCCAAAAACAGCCCCACATCCCCCAGAAATGCCCCACGGCACCTCTGAGTGCCCCCAGAGCCCCCTCCTACCCCATGGGGCCCCTGATCGCCCCCTCCTGCCCCACAGAGCTCCAAAGCTGCTCCACAGCCCCCCGTGGCTGTCCCAACCACCCCAAATCTGCCCCTCAGACCCACCAAGTGCCTGAGCCCCGAGCTCCACTTACCCCACTCGGGTGTCCCGGCACCCGGGCTCAGCTCTCGGGGTCTCCTGGCACCCCGGGGGGATGGCGGCAGCCCCAGCTCAGGGGTCCCAGGTGTCCGGGCACGGCCCAGCTCAGGGGTTCCAGGGATCCGGCCATGACCTGGCTCAGGGGTCCCGGGGGTCCCGGGGTGACACAGCTCAGGGGTCCCAGGGGTCCCAGGGGTCCTGGCTCCCCCTTGCTCAGGGGTCCGGGACCAGTTCAGCTCCAGGGTCTTGGGAGTCCGGGCTCGCCCCTGCTCAGGGGTCCTAGGGGTCCCAGGGGTCCGGACTCCGCTGGGATCTGGGGACCCAGGAATCTGGGCTCGCCCCAGCTCAGGGGTCCTGGGGGTCCCCGGGGTCCGGACTCCACTGGGATCTGGGGACCCGGGGGTCCAGGCACGACCCAGCTCGGGGGTCCCAGGTGAGCTCAGCTCCGGGGACCCCATGGTCCGATCCCGCCAGCGGGGGGAGAGGCGCAGGAGGCCAGGGGAGGGTGGGGGGCTGCGTGGGGGCTCGGGGGGGGGCCAGGTCACGGCCCAGCCCCAGGGACGCCAGCAGGGCCGAACCCCTCAGCAGCGCCCGCCGCAGCAGCCGCGGGGTCCCCCCCCGAGACCCCCGGCCCTCCTCAGCTTCAGGGGGCCCGGCCTCACCTGCAGGACACAGTGGGGGTCAGTGTGTGGGGGGATCAGGGATGGGATCCCCGGGACCCCCGGACTCACCATTGGGGGATGCATCCCCCGGGCTCAGCTCATCTGTGTCCAGGTACCAGGTGGTCTCGTCCGGGCGCAGCCGCCGCCTGCGGTGGGGGGGGGGTTGTGCCCAAGTGTCCAAGGGGAGTTCCAGGTGTCTGGAGGGGGGTGGGACCCCCTTGACCCCCCCAAGCTCCCCAGGGACCCACCTGCCATTAGGGGCATTGCTCTTGCCCCCGCGCCCCCGCGGCAGCTCCTCCTCCTCCTCGGGTTCCACTGGGGAGAGAGGGGAGATGTCACCCGGGGGGTGTGTGTGACATCACCAAGAGGTGTGACGTCACCAGAATCACCTCCCACCCCCCCCGACGACATCACTCACGCTGGATGGCACGCAGGCGGGGGAAAGGGGGGGACCCCCCCGGCCCATCCTCAGGGTCATGGCTTCGGGGGTCCCCTCCTGGCGCAGCCTGGACCGTCAGGCGATGCTTGAAGTCTGGAGGGGCACTGGGGTCAGCAGAGCCCTTGAACCCTGCCAAAACCCCCAAGCAAGCCCCAACAACCCCCCAGGCACCCTTCAGGCCCCCATAACTCCCAGGGCCCTAAACTCCCCCCAGAGCCCCTCCAACTCCAACTCCCCCAGCTCAAACAGCCCACTGCCCCTCCGGTCCCCCCAGAGCCTCCCCAGCACCCACAAAGGCCCCAGCTCCCAAAACCCCTGGGCCCCCAAAGCCCCAGCCCCTGTTTTCCCCCCCCCGTACCCTGGGGCATGCCAATGAGGTCTGCGGGCCGCCGCGGCCGCCGGAAGGGGGGTCGTCGTCGCTTGGGGGCTGAGGGCGGCCGGGGAGGCCCCCGGAGCATCAGGCTCAGCTCCCGCTCCAGCACCTCCAGCTCCCGCCGGGCCACGGCAGCCTCGCGCTGCCGCAGCGCCTCAGCCTGGGAGCGTTGGGCCCGGGACGCCCTGGCCACAGCCTCCTCCCGGCTCCGCAGCTCCTGGGGGGCACGGGGGGGCAAAAGATCGTTGGGGGCACATGGGGTCATGGGGGACATGAGGGACACGGGTGGACATGAGGGGACACAGGGGGCCTAGGAACAGTGGGCCCTGGCCACAGCCTCCTCCCAGCTCCTGGGGGGCCATCGGGGTCACAGGAACAAGGGGGTCCCAGGGACAAGGACCAGCCACGAGCAGCACCAGGGCAGGGCCGAGCCCTGCTGCAGAGTTTTGGGGGGTTGCATGGGCGTCCCAGGTGTCCCAGGGGATTTCCAGGTGTTTGCCATGGATCCCTACTGTTCAGGGGCTCCAGGGAGGTCTAGGGGTGTCCCAGGTGTTTGGGATGGCCCCAGGAGTTGGGGGGGGTCCCAGGGGTGTCCCAGGTGTTGGGGGTCCCACCTTCTCGCGCGCCCGCAGCTCGTCGAAGAGCCCCTGGATCTCACGGCGCCAGGACTCCTGCAGGGAGTGGAAGGACTCGGGGGGCCCCAGCCCCGCTGGCTCCAGCCCCCCCAGGCGCCGCAGGATTGCCCCGAAGCCCGGCCGCCGGTGGGGGTCCTGCTCCCAGCAGGCTAAGAGGGGAATCGGGATCTGGGGGGGGCTCGTGGGGGACCCCAATATCCCCCAGGGACCCAGGTACCCCCTGGTCCCTCTCCTCTGGAACCCAGGGGTCTGGGCACCCCCAAACCCCTGAGGATCCCAATATCCACAATCCGCCACAATCCCCCACCACCTCTGAGCTGCCTGACCCCTCCCCACAGCCCACCTGAACCCTCCCCGCCCTCCTGCCACCCCCCCATACCTGCCATCACCTGGGCAAAGGGCAGGGGGCAGTTGAGCAGGATGGGGACCCAGCCCCCAGTGTCACCCCATCCCCTGTCCCACCTGGCCCCCCCCGAGCCCCTAGGTCTCCCCCAGCACCCGATCCCCCTGTACCTGCCATGAGCTGGGCGAAGGGTGGGGGGCAGGTGGAGGGGATGGGCAAGGTCAGTTTGTTCACAGCCACCCCATAGGCCACCGCCAGGCCGTCGATTCCCCGGTATGGCACCTCCCCCGTCAGCAGCTCCCACAGCAGCACCCCGTAACTGGGGGGGGGAAAAGGGGGGTCAAACACATGGGGAGCCACTGGGACACCCCCAAACTCATGGGGACCCCCTTGGATCTCCTCACCCTCCCCTTCTTGGACCCAGGTGCCTGGGTGCCCTATAACCCCCCACCCAGACATCCCACAAACTGCTGCTCTAGGAACCCAGGATGTCCAGGTACCCCCAAACCCCCCACCCAGGCACCCAGGGGTCCAGGCACCCCAAACCACAGCCCAGCCCAGAGCTCAGGGGCGGATTCCCACCCTCCTAGATCCCCTAAGTGCCCTCTGGACCCTCCCAGCCCTTTCCCACCTCCAGACATCACTGCCCTTGGAGAAGGTGGATGCCCGGATGACTTCGGGGGCCATCCAGGCGTAGGTTCCGGCCGCGCTCATCTTGGTCGTTCGCTGCCACTCGCGGGCGAGGCCGAAGTCGGTGATTTTCAGCGTCTTCCCGCTCACGTCGTCCCCCACAACCGGCTGTGCCAGCAGCACTGGGGGGGGCAGGGGTCAGGGATCCCACAGGGACCCCCCAGCCTGATACCCCCAACCACCGACCCCCAAAACCAACTGCACCAGCAGCACTGGGGGGGGCCAGAAGTCAGGGACGGCCCAACCAGGGACCCCAGCATCTGGAACCTCCTCCATCCTGGGAACCTCTGCCTCTGTGACCTCCCCCACTGGGGACACCCCAAGACCCTCATGTCTCAGATCCCCACCCTGGGGATATCAGCAACCAATGTGCCCCAAATCCGGGGACCCCAGTGCAGGACAACCACCCCAGGGACCTTGGCCTGCGGGACCCCTGACCCTGGGGACCCCAGTGTCAGGGACCCCCGACCCTGGGGACTGAGACCCCACCCTGGGGACCCCAACCTCTGTGACTCCCCACCCTGGGCATCCCAGTAACCGGGACCCTCCACCCTGGGGACCCCAACCTCTGCGACCCCCCACCTTGGGCATCCCAGTAACCGGGACCCCCAACCCTGGGGACCCCACACTGCACCCCACATCCCGTCACCCCATCACCAGGAGCACCCACAGGAGCCCCCCAGCGCCCCCCCGCTCACCATTGCTGGACTTGAGGTCCCGGTGGATGAGGGGCACGGGGGTCCCGGCGTGCAGGTACCGCATCCCCCGGGCCACCTGGCGCGCCCAGTCCAGCAGCACGGCGGGGGGGACCCTGCGCCCCGCCAGCGCCCGCGACAGCGGCCCCCCCGCCGCGAACTCCATGACCAGGCACAGGTGGGGGGGCTCGAGGCACACGGCCCGCAGGGCCACCACGTTGGGGTGTCGCAGCCGCGCGTACAGTCGCGCCTCCCGCCGCAGGCTCGCGGCCCCCGCGGCCCCCGCGTCCCCTCGCGCCGCCTTCACCGCCACCACCTGCCCCCGCCACGTGCCCCGGAACACGCGGCCGAAGCCCCCGGCCCCGATCACCTCCTCCAGCCGCAGCTCCCCGAACGCCGCCCGCTCCGGCTCCCACCCCTCCGGGGGCGACGGGGACCGCGACCCGCCCGGGGAGGGGGGCGAGGGGGAGCGGGATCCCCCCGGGGGCGATGGGGAGCGGGACCCGCCCGGGGATGGAGACGGGGAGCGGGACCCCCCCGGGGAGGGGGGGAAAGGGGAGCGGGACCCCCCTGGGAAGAGGGAGGAGAGGGGAGGTGAGGGAGAGCGGGACTCCCCCGGGGGGGACGGGGAGGGGGATGCCTGGCCCCACTCCATGGGGTGCTCCCCCCCCGCCCCGGCCCCCACTGATGGCGCTGGGGGGGCCCGGGGGTCCTACAGGGGGCTGGGGGGTCCTACAGGTGTTTGAGGGACCCTACGGGTTCCTTGGGGAGTCCTAGAGGTGTCTGGGGGGTCCTATGTGTTTGTGGGGGTCCTGTGGGTACCCAGGGGGTCTATGGGTGCCCAGGGGACCCCATGGGGCCCCTTTAGCTCCTGGGGGTCACTCGGGTCACCGGGGCCCTACAGGTGCTGCCTGTAAGATCTGACAGTTCTGGGGGTCCCACTGGGGCACCAGGGGGGCTATGGGGGTCTGGGGGGGTCCTGTAGGTGTCTGAGGAGGGCTATGGGTCCCTGGGGGTCCCAGAAGGTCCCCACACCTTCTTTCAGTTCCTATGGTCCCTTATAGCTCCTATAGGTCCCTTATTGGTTCCTGGGGGATCCCTGTAGCTTCCAGGGGTCCCTGTGGGCACCTGTAGGATCCTGGGGGTCCCTAAGGGTGCCCGGTGGTCCCAGTGGCTCCTGGGGATGCCTGTGGTCCCTGCTGCTTCTGTGGGTCCCTGTGGCTCCTGGGGATCCCTGGGGATTCTTGGAGTCTCTATAGGTCCCTGGGGATCCCTGTGATCCCTGTTGCTCCTCTGGGTCCCTACAGGTCCCCGGGGGTCCCTACACCTCCCCTCGGTCGCCACAAGCCCCTGCCGGCCCCAGGGTCCCTCCGCCCCCACCCCGGTCCCCTTCACCCCCCTGCCCGGTCCCCTCCGCCCCGTCCCGTCCCCCGGGGCCCCCCCGCGCCCCGTCCCGTCCCCGCCTGGTCCCGCCGGAGCTCCCGCGGCCCGGAGGGGGGAGGAAGCGGCGTCCGGCGGCGTCCCCGGGGGGGGGGGCAGGGGGCGGCCCGGCCGGTCTGGGCTCCCGGGGGTCCGGCGGTTCCCCGCGCTGGCTGAGGCGGCCCCGGGAAGGCGGAGCCGGGACATTGTCACCGGGACAAAGGAAAAGGAACCAGCGCCGGACGGGGCGGGCCAGGGGCACCGGACGCCGCGGGGGGGGGGAGGGGGACCGGACGAGGGGCCGGCGGGGGGAGGGGCGCAACCCTGACCCCGGGACCCCCTGGGACCCCCCGGGACTCCCCGGGACCTCCCGGGACCCCCGGACCGGGCGGGGGGGGGCGCTGCGGCCCCCCGCGGCAACCGGGGGCCGGGGCCGGGGGGCCCGGGGGGGCGGGGGGGGGGGGCGGGACCCAGGCCCTGGGGGGCCCCGGGGGGTCCCGGGGGGTCCCGTGTCTGTGTGTCCCCCACGGCGCGGGGACCCCCCGGGACCGGAGTCGGTGCTGCCACTGGGGGGCGCCCTCACCGCCCCGGCCCGCGGGGGGACAACGGGGCTTGGCCCCGCCCACCGCTCAACGGCCCCGCCCTCCCCGGGCGCTAGGGGGGCGTGTTCGTCGGTGCGCACGCGCGTGACAGTTCCCGCCATGAGGGCGGGAGGGGGCGTGTCCTCCCCTTTTGCCCGTCGCGCCGGGATTCCCTCTACGTGACGTCACTTGCGCGAGCCGGCGGCGCCGGGGCGCACCCGGAAGCGGCGCCGGGCCTGGGGGGTCCCAGGGGGTCCCAGGGGGTCCCAGGGGGTCCCAGGGGGTCCCAGGGGGTCCCGGGGACCTCTGGCGATCCCCTGGGAGGCCCCGGGGCCACCATGGCGGGGGCGGCGGCGTTGCAGGTGCTCCGCCAGGGCGTTTGGGCCTCGCTGACCGGCGGCTGCTTCCTGGACCCGCAGCTCGGCGCCTTCGCCAACTGCGTCCGGCTCTACGTGTGGCTGTTCCTGCTCGGGCTGCCCCTTGGGCTCTATTCGGTGGGGGGAAGGGGCCAGGAAGGGGCTTTGAGGACCCTCGGGCTCCGTTGGGGGTCAGGTGTTGTCCCCGGGGACCTGACCCCTCCGTTTGCAGGCGCTGCCGCCCACCCCCGCCGTGGCCGCTCTGTACTGCGGGGTCGTGGCCGCGTTTTTCGGGGCCGTCAAGGCCGTGACGTTCCGGCTCCACGCGCAGCTCGACCGGGGGGGCTTACAGGGGGACCCCGAGGGGGGGGCGGCCGCTCTGCTGCCCCCCCCCAGCCCTGAGGAGGGGGACGGGCCCCCCGGGTGAGTTTGGGGGAGCTCAAGGGGATCGGGGGGGCAGGGGAGCTGTGTGGCCCCTCTTGGAGGGCAGTGACATGTCCTGGGGGGGCCCGGGAAGGGGGATTCCCCCCACCCCCCCGAGGTGCATTCGGGGTGTGACAGAAGTGTGTGAGGGTGGGAGACAGCTCCGGGGGGGCTGTAAGAGCTGGGGGGGGGGGGCTATGACCACTTCTGGGGTGCTGGGGGGGCAGTGATGGATTTGGGGGAAGGCTGGGAGGGGGGGACGTGGAGGGTCCCCAGGGGCTGGGGGTGGAGCTCCTGGGGGCCGTGGGAGGGGTCTCAGGGTCACCTGCGGCATATTTTGGGGTCGGGGGGCCACCCTGTATGTCTGTGGTACCCTGGGAGGGCTGGGCAGGATGGGGAGTTGGGGTCCTCTCGTACCCCCCTTCACTTCTACCCCCCAGGCTCCCTGGGGGGGGGTCTGGAGCTCTCGGTGCTCCGGTGGCCACATGCGACCCCCCCTGAACTCTGTGGCTTCAACCAGCTCTCGGTGAGTGGGGGGGTACGGGGACACCCCCTGGACTCGGGGCCCCCCTGTGCCCCCCACAACACCCCGTGCGTGTGTACCCTCCCAGGAGCTGCTGCCGCACCTGGACACGGACAGGATGGGTGGTGAGCAGCCTCAGGACCCCCCGGGCCTCAGGCCCTCCCCGGGATGTGTCCCCCCCACACTAAATCCCCCCCGTGCCCCCCCCCCAGAGCTCTGGAGCGGCACCAGTGGCATCATCACCGCCGCCGACCGGGAGCATCTGTGCCGCGGCCCCCCCACAGCGGGGGGGCACCCCGGGGGGGGGACACGACTGGGGGAGGCACAGGGGCTGAGGGAGGGGAGCTGCGGGGGGGCCGGGGGTGATACCGGAGTCCCGCTGACCCTCGGACTGCCCTCGGCCCCAGAGAGCCCTCTGGCAGCCAGTGTAGAGGGGGAGGTCCCGCCTGGCAGCCCCCCCCCCAACACCCTCCCAGGGTAGGGGTCCCAGCAGCCCGTGCATGGCCCTGAGCCCCCCCCAGCCCCCTGAGACCCCCTCAGCCACCAGCGGCTCCCCTCGGGGGGTGAGAGGGGGCCCTGAGGGCGATGGGCCAGGGGAGACCCCCTCGGGAGGAGAGTGGAGGTTGGGCTGACCCCAGAGCAGGGAGGTCTGGGGGGGAGCAGTGCTATAACTGGGATGTCTGGGGGGGCACTGGGGGGTGCTCCCCTACAGTGGAAAACTTGGGGGTCCTGCCCCATAACTAAGGGGCTCCAGAGGGCTGGGGAGGGCTTGTCCTGGCCATAACAGGGGGGGCTAGGGGGGTTAAACAGCCTCATGGTGAGATTTGGAGGCACCTGATCTCTGACAGGGGCTCTGGGACATTTCAGGGGGGGATCCTGGGGAAGGCTGGACTCTTTCTCTCGTTTTTGATGGTTCTCAGTGGGGTTTTGTTGGTTTAGGGGGGTTTGGGGTTGGTACAAATAAATTAATAAATAAAACCTGATAACGGTTCAAAAAGTCGTTTTTGTCGTTTTCCCGCCGCACTGGGGGGGGAGGGGGGGGGCATCGCCTGGGGGGCACCGGATGCCTGGGCTGCCCACATGGGGAGGGGGAGCAGGGATGGGTTGGGGGGTCAGGGGGGTGCCCTGGGCTGCCGGAGCCCCCCCGCCCCCCCCGGGCTCACCGTGGCGGGAGGAAGCGGCGGAGGGGAAGGGCGGGGGCACGGCCGCCCGTGGCCCCTCGAGCCGCTGCAGCCCGTGAAAGCGGGGGGTCCGGCCTGCCTGGCACCCCCCCGACACCTGGGACCCCCAGCAGCGTGGGACCCCCTCTGGAGGGTGACGGGGACACAAGGGGCCAGAGGTAGGAATGAGCCGGGGAGTGGGGGGGCTCGCACGAGGGTTTGGCACGGGGGGGCTGTTGGACAGTGCATCCCCCACCCCCGTGTGAGCCCCCAACCCCCCGTGAACCTCCCTGCGACCCACGACTGACCCCCGTGGGACACCTTTGCCCGGGGCCGCGATTTCCGTCCCCCCCGCGCCTCTGGGGAACATACGACGGGGGGGGGGGCGGCCGTGGGGTCCCGAGAGGGTCCCAGGAGGGGTGGGGACACCCGGGTGGCCCCCCCCGGGACACCTGAGTCCCTGTCCGGCCCTGAGCCACCTGCACCTGGCGCGGGGGGGGGGAGTCACCCCCCCCTACGCCCCCCCAGATTAACGTCCTTAATCGCGTCTTAACAGACAGGGGGAGGGGGGCGGGGAGGGGCCGTGGTGCCCGAGGGGAGTCAGGGGAGCCGGACGCCGTTTCCTCTGGGGGGGGCCGGACGCCGGGTCCTGCAGTCGGAGGAGGGAAGTTGGGGGGGAGCCCGGACGCCCGAGTTCACACCGGGGACAAGGTCAGGAGCGGGGACCCATCATCGGGGAGGTCACTGGAGTTGGGGGGGACCCCCCGGGGGTGGGAAGCAGTGCGGGGGGCTAGGGGGAGCACTTGGGGGGCAGCTCTTGGGGGGCCGTCAGCGGCTGACACTTCCTGTAAGGCAGGAAACCGCCGGCGGCTGCACGTCCGGGCCCCCCCTCGAACTCCCCCAGCTCCACAACTTCCCACCGAGCCCCTCCAGACCCCACGGGGGCACAGAGGGCCAGGCCAGGACTCAGGCAAAGGAAGGACCCGGGTGTCCGTGGGGGTCCAAGGGGACCCCCGCTCTCAGCCCTGTTCTGGGGTCCCTGCAGCGGAGTGGGCGAGGCGGGGAGGGCAAAGGGGGCCTGTGGGTTGACTGGGGATGGAGGGACAGACACGGAGGAACAGAGGGACACGGGGATGGGGCGTGGAGGGCTGAGGAGCGCCCCCGAGCCCCCACTGACTCCCTATCCCTCCCCAGGTGCCGCCGTCCCTCCCCGCCCCAGAGAGCGACGCGGCCGGAGCCCCCCCGACCCCCCCGGGTTGCCCCCATTGAGCGCGACCCTGGAAGGGGCGCGTGGGAAAAGGGGCGGAGCCTCCGCACGCGGGAATTCCCGGGCACCCAATCGGGGCATGGACTCCGTTCCCACGCTTCCATTGACTAATCCCTGGGTGCGAGTCTCCGCTACAACTGGGGGAGGCTGGGGGGGGCTGGGTGGCTGGAGAGGTGCCAGAAACCCCCAGGAGGGTCCTAGGGAGTCCCTGAGAGTCCCTTGGGGTGCCTGAGGGTTACAGGAGTGTTCCCTAGGGGGGATCAGGGGTATCCCGGGGGGTCTCAGGGGGGTCCTAGCTAGTCCCTAGGGGTCTCAGGGGGGAATAGAGGGGTCCCAAGGAGTTTCAGAGGGGTCCTAAGGAATCTCGGGGGGATCCCTTGGGGTCCCGGGGGGCCATGCAGTCCGACGACCTCTTCCTCCGCAAGATGCGGGGCCCCTCGGCCCGGCCGCTCCCACCCCCCGCTCCCCCCAGCGCGGCCGGGGGGGCCCCCTTGCCGCCCACGTCCCCGGGGGGGGGCCGTCCCCCTGCAGCGCAGCAGCAGCGAGGTGGCCCTTGCGGGGTCCCCGGAGGAGAAGGGGTCTCCAGGGATAATGTTCCCTCGGGCCCGCACCCAGAGCCACGAGGAGGCGGCCGGGGGGGGCAGCCCCACGTCCCCCCGCTTCCGCGACCCTCTGCTGCTGTTGGGACTTGCGGTCGGCGGGGGGGACCCCAATTTCTCCCCCCCCCCCCCCTGGAGCCCCCTCCTCGCTCACTACGACGTGCAGAGCATCCTCTTCGACCCGGCCGAGCCCCCCGCGGCCGACCCGGGCCCCACCTCGGGGGCTTCTGCCGCCCACCTGGAGCCCGAGGAGCCTCCTGGGCCCCACGGGGCTCCTCCCGACCCCGAGGCCCTGGTGCTGAGCTGTCCCCGCTTCTGCTGCGAGACGGGGGGAGAGCAGGAGCCAGGGCTGGGCCCCCCCCCGCGGCCCCCCCGGGCCCGGGCAGCTGCCGAACGCAGCAGTGGCAGTGCTGGAGGAACCCCCGGCGGGGGCGCGACCCCCCCACCCCATCGAGCACAGCGACGACGGCGCCGAGTACTATCGCAAGTACTTCTACGGGAAAGGTGAGGGGGGGCAGGGGATGGGGGGGGCTGTGGTGGTCCCGTCCCTCCCCCATACCCCTCTGACCCCCCAGAGCACCAGAACCTGCTGGCAGGGACAGCCGGCTGGGGCCACGGGGAGCTGTAGGGGGGCTGGGAAGGGTCATACGGCCTCCCGACCCCCCTGGCCTGCTCCCAGAGCACCAGAACCTGCTGGGTGAGGACCCCCGGCTGGGGCCCGTGGCCGTGTCCCTTCGGCGGGAGGAGAAGGAGGGACCTCGGGCCCAGGTGCTGCACAGGATCATCCTGCGCACCTGCCAGGTGACAGGGGGGTGCTGGGAGGCGTCCAGGGGGGAGGAGGGAGCTGGGGGGGCCAGGAGAATCAGGGGGCCCGGAGGTCCCAGAAGGGCTGGGTGGTTACAAGGGCGTGAGGGGGTTCAGAAGTTCTAGGGTGGGTTCAGGGGATTGGAGGGGGTGGGTGGGGTTCGGGAGAATGGATGAAGTTGGGGGGGGACCTGGGGATCCCAGAGGCCCTATGGGGTGATCCCCATGGGCTTCTGGGGGACATCAGGGGCTGGGGGGTCTCAGGGGTGCCCAAGAGGGCCAAGGGTAGTGCGGGGGTTCCATGAAGGTGCCCCCACCCTGACCCTTCCTGTATCCCCCTTCCAGCCACGGACTCTGCGGGGCTCGGTTCTGGAAGAGGCGCTGCCCCCCGGCTCTCGCCCCTCTGGGGCGCGGGGGGTCCCCCCCCCGGAAGCTGCTGGAGCTAGTGCTGCCTGGGCTGGTGGTGGGGGGGCTGCGCCTCGCCCCCTCTCCCGCGGTGCAGGAGACCCTCCTCAAGCTGGATGAGCAGGGGGTGAGGGGGAGTTTGCAAGAGGAGGGGCTTGTGTGAGGGGGCTTTGTGAGGGGGGGTTTGGGGGGGGGTTCTTGGGGGGGGCTTAGGTGGAGGGCTTGCGCAAGGATTGCATTGCACCGGACCTGGGGCTCACACACGGGCAGGGCTTGTACAAGGGTGGGCGTTCCTCAAGGATGGGGCGTGCACAGGGTGGGGTTTGCAAGGGTTCAGGCCTTGCACGAGGACCTGGTTTGCACGAGAATGGGGTTTGCACGAGGACGGGGTTTGCACCAGTGCAGGCCCTTGTGGGAGGCCGTTGAGCGTGTTCAGGGGTCTGTGCGTGTTCCCTGCGCGCTCCCCGGGAACTCCCTGTGCCCCACTCACGTCCCCCATCCCCCCCCAGGTGAGCCGGCAGCGCAAGGTTGGGGTGCTGTACTGCCGGGGGGGGGCAGGGCTCCGAGGAGGAGATGTACAACAATGAGGAGCCCGGCCCTGCCTTCGAGCAGTTCCTGGCGCTGCTGGGCACCCGCGTGAGGCTGCGGGGCTTCGCGGGGTACCGGGCACAGCTGGACACCCGCAGTGAGACCCGGGACATGGGGACACGGGGACACATGGGAGGACAGGGTGGGATACAGGGACACAGAGGGACACGGGGGGACACTGGGGGGCGAGGGAGACATGGAGGTGGGGGGACGTGGCACACAGGGATGGGGACATGGCTACTGTGAGGATAGAGGGACTTGGGGACACAGGGGATGGGGGGAACATGAGGACGCAGGGGAAGGGACACAGGGACCTGGTGGGGACAGGAAGGATGGGGCACAGGGGACGCAAGGGGATGAGGGGACATGGAGATGGGGATGAGGGGATGTGGATACAGGGAGACCTGGGGACATGGGGCCTTGAGGGGCCACAGGGCCAGGGGCTTAGGCTGTGCCCCCTCAGCTGACTCCACGGGGACCCACTCGCTGTACACGACGTACCACGGCTACGAGGTGATGTTCCACGTGAGCACCATGCTGCCCTTCACTCCCCGCAACCCCCAGCAGGTACAGGGGGTTGTGGGGGGGTCATGGCGGGGGTCATGGGGGTCCGTAGGGTCTGGGGTGCCCCCATGCTGCCTTTCAGCCCTTCCAACTCCCAGCAGGTATGGAGGGGGGTGGGTCACAGGGGTGCCTGGGGTCATGGGGCTGGGCGTCAGTTAAGTCGCAGCAGGTCCAGGAGTCCCAGGGGGTTTGGGAAGTTCTAAGGCAGCTGGGGGGGTCTGAAGGTCCCAGAGGTTTTTGGGGGGATGCTGGGTGTTTCCAGCAGTCTGTGGGGGCTCCCTATCTCTGCCCCCCCTGGACACTTTTGGGGCTCTGACTCCCCCCTTTCCCCACCAGCTGCTGCGGAAGCGCCACATCGGGAACGACATCGTGACAATCGTGTTCCAGGAGCCGGGGGCACGGCCCTTCTCCCCCCGTGCCCTGCGCAGCCACTTCCAGCACATCTTCATCGTGGTGCGGGTGCACGAGCCCTGCACCCCCCCACACCACCTACAGGTGGGGCCAGGTGTCCCCAAGGCTCTCAGGGGTTGGGGAGCTCATACAGGGAGTTTTGGGGGTCCTAAAGAGGATCTGGAGGTCTCCAAGGGTCTCAGACAGGCACTGGAGGTTTTGTACAGGGGGTCTGGGGATCCCCAAGGGCTCCTAAAGGGTGTGGGGCTCATACAGGGGTGTCCGGGGGTCCCCAATGGCTCATGCAGGGCTGGGGAGCCTCTCATGGACTCTGGGGGAGGTCCCTCCTGGGCTTTGGAGGTGATGAATGGTTCTTGAGGGGCTCACATGGGCCCTGGGGGACTCACAAGGGGTCTGGGGGTTTATGTGAGGGCTGGAGGGGGCCAGCACGGGCCCTGTACTGCTTACATGGGCTCTTGGGGTCTCTCCCGGGGTCTCTGAGGGTGTAACAGGGCTCTTGGGATTCCTGGGAGTCTCCCCCAATCCCTGGGGGTCTCTCCTGGTTCTTGAGGGTCTGTCCTGCGCCCTGGGGGTCTGGCAGAGTTCCCTAGGAGAGTCTCTCCTGGGCTCCGTGGGTCTCTCATGGGCTCTGGGAGTCTCTCCTGGTTCTTGGGAGTCTCACATGCGTTCTGTGGTCCCTAACCGCCCTCCCCGCCCCCTCTGGGGGTCTCTCCGCAGCGTGGCGGTGGTGCGGCCAGAGGAGACCCCCCCGTTCGGGCCGGCGCTGGCGGCAGGGCAGCGTTTTAAGGGGGGCGCAGGGCTGCGCCCGTTCCTGCTGGCCAAGGCCATCAACGGGGAGAACGCGGCGGCGCGGGGGGGTCGCCTGGGGGCCATGGCCGCGCGCACCCGCCGCCAGTACCTGCAGGAGCTGCTGCGCGCCCACGGCGGGGGGGCCCCGCTGCCCGCGCCCCCCCGGGGGCTGCCCGCGCTCGGGGGACGCCGCCGGGGGAGCGCGGGGCGCGCGGGGGGCGCGGCGGTGGCGGGGGCGCTGGTGTGGGGGGCGCGGGCGCAGGGGGGGCCCGGGGGGGCCGAGGTGCCGTGTCTGCTGGGGGTAGCGGCGGAGAGGGTGGTGGTGGTCGCCGCACCACCTGGGGCGGTCACCAACCGGTCCGGGGGGCTCGCCCTCAACCCAGGGAATCCCCCCCGTGACCAAGGGACGGTCGACCCCCACTCAAGGGCGATCGCCCCTCAGCCGGGGAAGTTTCCCCCAAACCCAGGGGCGCTCCCCCCACACCCAGGGGAGCCCCCCACTCACTCAGGAACGGTCACCCCCCACCTAGGGACAGTTGCCCCACAGCAAGGGGAACCCTCACGTAACGCAGCGATGGCCGCGCCCCCCCCACGGGACGCTGCCCCCCACCCGGGGACAGTCGCCCTCCCCCCCCGGGGTGCTGTTCAGCTGCGCCTGCCGGGACGTGCTGGGCTGGGGGTTCGCCGAGGGGCGCCTTGAGATCTTCTATGGGGCGGGCGAGTGGCTGGGGCTGCGGCTGCCCCACGGCGCTGCCCCACAGGTGGTGGCCAGGCTCCAGGTGAGCGGGGCAGGGGGCAATGGGGGGGGGCAGGAATGGGGCAGGGATGGTGGGGCAAACTGGGGGGGAAACAAGGGACAATGGGTCAGGCTTGGGGGGGAATGGGGGGTGCGGTAGGGCAGGGATGGGGGACTGTGGGGGTGTGCTGTGGGGCTCAGACAGGGCAATTGTCCATAGGGGTCAGTGTTGGGTTGCCATGGGCTGATATTGGGTCACACCCCGGAGGTCCCTGTCAGGATCCCCGGAGATTCCTGGACCCCTCCCACTCGATGCCCCCCCCGCCGGTGGTGATGCGGGGATGCGAGGTGCGGGGGGCTCTGTCGGGGTCCCCGTGCCCTCCCTGACCCGGTGTGTCCCCCCCCGCAGGCGGTAACGCGGGGGTGCGAGGCGCGGGAGCTGGCGCTGCCGCGGGGGGCCGGGGGCCGCCGGGGGTTCCGCGTGGACCCCTCGGGGGTCGTGACGGCTGTGACGCGGTTCTCCTTCGCCGAGACTGCGGGGCTGCGGCCCGGGACGCGGCTGCTGCGCGTGGGACACCGTCCCCTTCCCCGCGGGGACCCCCGGCTGCTGCGGGCGCTGCTACGGCGCCCCTCGGGCCCCCCTGACGCTGCTGCCTCCCGACCGCGACGGGCGGCCCCGGCGGTGCGTGCAGGGCGGGGGGCTCGGGCGGGGTCCTGTGGGGAATCGGTGGGATGGGAAACAGGGGGGATTGGGGTTGGAAGGGTAATGGGGGGCAGTGGGGGGAAATGGGAGGCATTTGGGGGAATAGAGGATGTGGGGGCAGCGAGGGGGTTTGGGGACGGGGGGCATGGGAGGAGTTGGGGGGGCCTTTGGGGACAAAGGGGGCATTGGGGTTGGGAGGGAAATGGGGGAGCAGTGGGGGGCGGAATGGGGGGAATTGGGTGGCACGGGGGATCTTGGAGGGACATGGAGAAGGCAGGGACATGGGGGTCAAGTGGAACTGGGACCTGGACACGCCGGTGTGTCCTCACTCTCCCCCCCGCCATGTCCCCCTCACCTTTGCCCCCCAGGAGTTTCTTGGAGCTCTATGCCCGCTCGCTGGAGCAGGGCCGGGGCACAGGGGGGGACCCCGGTATCGGGGACCTTGGAGGGGATATCGGGGACACCAGCAGCGACTCAGGGGGAGACAGTGACAGGGGGGATCATGGGGTGGGCCCAGTGGGGCTGCACCCCAACACCCTACAGCTCCTGCGCTCGCTGGCACTGGATGAGGAGAGCACCCCCTTTCCCCCTGGGGGTGGCCCCCCCAGCCCGGGGACCCTCAAGAGCCCGACCGGATGCCCCCCCCAGCCCGTGAGTTACGCTGGACACGGGAAACCCCCCAAATCCTCTGGGATCCCCCAGTACCCTTGGAATACACCTCCCAAGCCCCTGGGACCCCCCCAAATCCCCCAGGAATCCCATGCCCTCCCATGAACCCTTCTAACCCTCACTCCCATGGCCCCCCAGGTCCCCCCTGGCTGACCCCACGCCTGACCTGTTGCTGCCGCACCACAGCCCCCCCCAGTCCGGTGACCCGGTGAGTCCCTTTGTCCCCCTATGTTTCCCCCTGTCCCCCCATGCTCCTATGAGGCTGCTGACCCTACCCTCGTCGCCCCATGTGTGTCCCTGTGTGTCTCCCCCAGTCTCCCTGTGCCCCTGCTGACCCCCCCTGTCCTCAGGGTCCCTCTCTGGATGCTGGTGGTCCTGCAGCCCCCCTCGAGCCCAGCCCCCCCCCCGGGCCCCTCGCTGCGGCACTCCCTGGGCAGGCGTGAGTGGCCCGGACCCCCTGTGTTCCCCGTGTCCCTCCCCTGTTTCACCTCATGTCCTCTTCTGTGTCTCCCCTCCATTCCCCATCCTATGTCTCCTGGGGGTGTCCCTGTCCCTCTGTGGGGGAGTGTCCCCCATCCCATATCCCATGTCTCACATCCTACGGGGGTGACCCCTGCCCCCTGGGGGGCCCCCCATCTCCTTGAGGTGTCCCCAGCCCAGGTCCCCTTCACCTGGGGGTGTTCCCATCCCCTGGGGTGTCTCCCCTCATCCTCGGGGTGTCCCCTGTCCATATAGGTGTCCCCTGAAGGTATGCCCTATCCCGTGGAGGGGGGTCCCCTGGGGGTCGTCCCCTCACCACTTGGGTGTCCCTGTCCCCTGGGTGTCCCCATCCCATGGGGGGTGTCCCTGTCCTATGCTCCCTGTGCTAGGGGAGTGTCCTGTGGGGTTGTCCCACATCCCCTGGAGGGCTCCCCTCCAGTTCCCTGGGTGTCCCCCACTGTTGCCTCCCCCGCCAGTGCTGTCGGGGTCTGGGGAGCCCCAGGAGGAGGAGTGGGAGCTCATCGCCCGCCTGGCCACGGCCTGCAGTGGGGTCCTGGAGGCCATCGCCCGGGGGGGGGAGGGGGGGGGGGGGGGCTTTTGGGGGGGGCTTTGGGAGGGCTGAGGGGATCCTGGAGGTCATTGCCTGGGAGGGGAGAGGGGGGTTTTGGGGGGCTGAGGGGTCCTGGAAGCTGTTTCTTGGGGGTTGAGGGGTGTTTTGGATAAGAGGCAGATCTGGGAGAGCTTGGGGGTGGGGGGCTGAGAGGGTGAGGGGGCCTAGGGGGACCGGGGGGAGGCTTGGGGGGTTGGTGTTGGTCTGGGGGCCTTGTGCAGATGGAGGGGATGGGGAGGTTGAGGACGTTCTGTGGGGATGGGGTGTCAAGGGGGTGAGGGGATCCTGGGGGACTGAGGGGAGCTGAGGGAGTTGGGGGAATGGGGGTTGTGGGAATGGGAAGGATCGGGAAGGGGGGGGATCTCACTGGTTGTGGGAATGGGGAGGGTCAGGAAGAGGGAGGTCTTGGGGCTCCCCATGTAGGGGTCTTACATTCCTCCGCTTCTCCCGCCAGGGCATCAGCTCCGAGAGCCCCTCAACATCGGGGTCCAGCAGAGCCTGAGCCCGGCGGTCCCTGAGGATGAGTATGAAGGGGGAGGCTGGGAGGAGTAGGAGGGTGGAGGGGGTCCCCTCAGGGTCCAACACCCCCTCGTGCCCTCCCCAGGTCCCGGAGCCTCTCAGAGAAGGTGGCACAACTGGAGGCAGCGCTGAAGCGGCTGCAGGAGGGTCTGCAGGAGGTGGGGGGCACTGGGGGGCACACTGGGAGGACACTGGGGAGGACACTGGGAGGCACTGGTGGGGCTGGATGGGAACTGGGGTGCACTGGGGTGCACCAGAGGGACACTGTTGAGGGATTGGGGGGGCAGTTGGGAACACTGGAGGAGAAATGGGGAGTACTGGAAGTCACTGGGGGGACACTGGGAGAGAACTGGGGGAACGCTGAGGTGGTTGATCTATGGGTCTGTGTGGGGCAGGGGGCTGACCCGTGGCTCTGTGTGGGGCAGGGCCACGAAGTGCAGCAGCGGCTCCAGGCTGAGCTCCGGGGGGCTCCGTCGCAGCACCCGGCGGCTGCAGCAGGGCCAGGAGGACGCGAACGCGCGGCTCAGCCGGGTCACGAGGCTGCTGCACCCCCCTGGGGACCCCCCCAAGCCCCCTGACACCCCCCAACAGCCCCCGGGGGGGACCCCCGACCTCTCCGGGGATCCCTTGACATCCCCCAACACCCCTTGAGACCCCTGGGGGAGACCCTCCGACATCTGTGGGACTCCACAGGACTCCGGGACTGTGGCAGCCCCCTGGCATGGGGGCACCTGCACATGGCATGGTCAGGTGGGCACAGTCACCTCGGGCACACTCACCTGGGCACACTCACCGTGGGCATACTCCCACCCTGGGCACACTCCCACGCTGGGCACACTCACCTGTGCACACTGAGTGCAGTCACATGCCATGAACACGCCGTGCACACTCATGTCCTGTGCACACCATCCCCGTGCCACACACGCTCATAGCTGCGCACACTGATCCTGCAGGCCCCCTGCACGCTCACACCTCGCTCACACTCGCCTGGCACGAGCCAATGGTGCCCACTGCAGGCCGATGGTGTCCATCCCATGCACGCTCACCCCCCCCTTGCACAACCACCCCTTGCACACTCACCCTGTGCACACTCACAGCTCCCCCATCCGCCCCCACTAACTGTGAAACTGAAGCTGTGACTCCCTCCCATGTCCTCCCAATGTGACACTGGACCCTACATGTGTCCCTCCATGTCCCCTCCATGTGACACTGGACTCCTCTGCCCCATCTCCCCTCAAGGGGACACTGGAAACCGCCCCAAAGGAGATGTGCTGGGACCACACTGATCCCCCCAACAATAAAATCCTTTGGCCTCAGCAGCCCCAGCCTATGACTGGGGGGGGGTGAGGGGGAGTGGGGGCGGCACCCCTAGTTCTGCCAGCTCTGTCCCCTTCCCAGGGATCCTGTGGACTGACCCCGGGAAGCACCAGACTCCCATCCCATGAGAACACTGTGTGCTGGGAGTGCAATGAGGGTGACTTGGGGGGGGGGGTCCCAGGTCCTGTCCCAGCTGGTGGGATAGTAGAGGGATGTTGAGAGACCCCAATGTCCTCACCCTGTGGCCCTGGTGGGTGTCATGGCAGGGGGAGGACAGCCCAATGTCCGGACCCTGTGGCTCCTCCCCACCACGACTTCCTCTGCAGTGGGTGGCAGTGGTGTGGGGTGAACCCGGGTGTCCAGGGTGCCGTGGAGAAGGAAGTGGGATGGGACGTGGGGCGGGACGTGGGGCAGGAACATTCTGGACACCATTGGGAAGGGACGGAGTGATGGCAGGGCTGAAGACGGCAAGTGGGGAGGACATTGACGGCTCCTTTGAGCTGCAGGTGGAGGTGGAGGAGGGAGGTGCCATGGGGCAGGGAGATGCCACAGGGCAGGGAGATGCTGTGGGGCAGCCCAGCCCCCCAGCAGCTCTCCGCATCCTTGCCCTCCGTGTCACCGGGGACCTGCACATTGGTGGCCTCATGCGCCTCATCGTGGAGACCATTGGTGAGTAACCTGTAGCCCTGACCTCTGGCCAGACCCACAGCTGGGATCCACAGCCCTGACCCCCAGTTGTGCCCCACAGTGGCAGGAGGCTGGACCCCGGTGTCCAGGCCCCCCAGCTCCAGGCCCCATAGGAAAGGGTTGTAGGGGCATCCAGCCCCCCTGAAGTGGCATGTGGTTGAGAGAGGATGTTGGGGGAGGATCCAGCCTGGGGATACTGAGCCCTTATCGAGGGGTCCCAGCGTCCCCCTACTTCCCAGTTCCCCTCCCCAGGTCCTCCCCGGCCAGGGCGATAAGGGACCCATGGGCTATAAATAGCTCCAAGGGTGGCTCCCCCCCGGGACCCATGGCCTCCTGAGCCCCCCTGATGTGGTTTGGGGGTACAGTGGGACCCCTACAGACCTCACAGCACCCCACAACTCCCCCATAACCCCTACTCAGTAACCCCTAACCCCACGCCAGTTCCTCACAGCCTCCTATAGCATCCCCGTAGCCCCCCATAGCTCCCAATAGCCTCTGACAGCCCCCATTAGAGCCCTACATACCCCCCATTGCCCCATTACAGGCCCCCTGTAGCCCCTCCGATGTGGTTTGGGGGTATAACAGGACCTCCCATAGCCCCCTTTAGCACCCTCTAACCCTCCTCCAGTCCCTCACGGCCATCCCCCTGCCATGGCACCCCACTGCCCCCTCCCAGCCCTATCACACCACAGCCTCCCCTGACGCCCTTTCCTCCAGGGGAGGCCCGGGACTGGTCGGACCACGCGCTGTGGTGGGTGCAGCAGCGGAGGTGGCTGCTGCCCCCCGGGCCCCCCCTGGACGCGCTGGGTGTCGGGGGGGGCTCCCGGCTCCGCTTTGCCCCCCGGCACCGCCCGCTGCGGCTGCGGCTCCCGGGCGGGCACGTCCTGCGGCTGCACCTCGACTTCGCCAGGACCCCCGGGCGGGGGGTGGCACGGGTCTGCAGTCTGCTCGGTGTGTCGAGGGGGTTCCGGGAGCGCTGGGGGGAAATTGGGGGGGTCACTGGAGGGGGTTGAAGGGTGATTAGGGTGTCTGGGGGGGCTTTTGGGGGTCTGGGAGGGCCAGAGTGGTCTGGGCAACGATGGAGTGGAGTTGGGGGGGGATGAAGGGGTCTGGGGGGTCCCGGGGGGATCTCAGGGGGGAACTGAGGCGTGCCGAGGGGTCTCGGGGAGTCCCGGAGGGCACTGAGGGGTCCCGGGAAGGTGCCTGGGGTCCCACTGTGCGCGGGGGTGGGGGTCGCAGGGATCCGAAACCCCGAGGAACTTTCGCTGCTGCGTCCGGAGGAGGAGGGGGGAGGGGAGGGGCGGGGGCGGAAGGGCCGCGCCCCCGCCCAGGTCCCCCCCGACCTGGACCTGACGCACCTGCGGCCAAGGGCAGGTGAGCGGAGAGGGGGGGAGCGATGGGAGGCCGGGGGGGGCCGGATCCCCCCGTGTCCTTCCCACCTTCCCCGACCTCCTGTCTCCCCCCACTCAGATGAGGCCCCTCCCCCTGCGCTGCCCCCCGAGCAGCTCCGGGTTCTGGTGACCCCCCGGGGGGGGAGGGACCCCCCAACCTTCCCCCGGACCAGGCGCGGGAACCTCCTCCTGCGGCGCGCGCAGCTGCACGCGCGGTGAGGGGCGGAGCCGCGGGGGTGGGGCCCGGTGGGCGGGGTTTGAATGGGGCGGGATTCGGTGGTTGGGGAGGGGTTAGAGTTGTGGGCGGGGCTTAAAGGCGGGGATCGGGGCGGGATTGGGGGGTGTTGGGCGGGGCGGGGGCGAGGCTTAGGGTGGGTGAGGGGCGGGACACGACTTGGTGGGGTGGGGTTTGCTCGGGTGTGGCTGGGCGGGGTTTGTGGGCGGGGATGAGGGTTACGGGCGGTGCTCGGGCGAGGTTTGTGGGCGGGATCGAGCGCGCAGGACCCCCCCAACCACGCCCCCCCCTTTCCCCGCAGGTGGCTGGACGCCTCGCGGTCCCTGATGGAACAGGACGTGGTGGACGACGAGGAGCTGCTGCTGCGCTTCAAATACCCCTGTGCCATGGGGCTGGACCCCCAGGTACCCTCAAATCCCCCCTGGTGACCCCTAACGCCCCCCCCAGGGACCCTCAACCCTCCCATGTCACTTCCCAAACACCCCTCAGGACGGGGTTAGGGAGCCCTTGTGGGTCCCTGCTGGGATTTTGGGGGTCCCTGGGGGTTAAAGCCCCCCTGGGTGCCCCCCCCGTGCCCCAACACTGTGATGCCCCCAGGAGGGCGGGCTGCGCATTGCGCTGCTGCATGAGCAGGCACGCGGGGCCCTCCTGGCAGAGGAGATCGACTGTACCGAGGAGGAGATGCTGCTCTTTGCTGCCCTCCAGGTACCCCAGAACACCCTTGGACAATCTGGCACCCCACTGAACCCATCCCCTGATCCTCTGCGACCCTCCTCAAAACCCCTGTACCCCAAAACCCACCCCAGATTCCCTGGGAGCCCCTGGGACCCCCAAGAACCCTCCAGACTCACCCAAACCTTCCTGGACATCCCTGAGCCCCAAACACCTCTGGACCCCTCAGTCTCCCCTTGACCCCTCTGAGACCCCCCTGAATTCTCCTGACCCCTCTGTGACCCCTCCAATTCTCCTGACCCCCCATGACCCTCTCCATCCCCCAGTACCAGATAGATGGGGCAGAGGGGGGGTGATGGGGCCCCCAAGGGCCCCCTCGAGCCCCAGGACCTGGACACAGCCCTGGACAAACTGGAGCTGAGCCTGGAGGAGGAAGGGACCGCCATCCTGCCAGTGAGACTGGGGGCACTGGGGGGCACTGGGGGGGTGTTTGGGGAGGACCTGGAGGGACTGGGAGGGGTTTGGGGAGACTGGGGAACACTGGGATGGATATGGAAGGCCCTGAGGAGCACTGGCTGGTACTGGGTGCCTCTTCTGGCCACGCTGGGGGGACTGGGGGGCACTGCTGGGGGGGGGAGGGGTATGAACTGGTGGGGGCTGGGGTGGGGGGCACTGGGGGAGGCACTGGGAGTCAGTGGGGATTACTGAGGTCTGGGGGAGTCCCCAGGAGGAGCTTGGAGCTGCCCCTGAGCTGGTGGAGGAGCTGGAGATCTACAGGTACCCCCACAACCCCCAAACCCCTCGCCTGACCCCAAAATTGGGGTTCCCCCAGGCCCTCCCTCCTGGCCATTCTGGGGGTCCCTCTTGACCTCCCCCAACCCCCAAACTTGGGGTATCCCCAGGTCCTCCCGCTGGCCGTTCTGGGGGTCCCGACCTGCCCGGGCCGTGCTCTCGGGGTCATCACTGTCACTCTGGAGCCTCCCGAGATCGGGGGGGCCCCCACAGCAGCTCAACCTCCGCGGTGAGACCTCAAAACCCCCCCCCGGGCCCCCAGACTCCCTCTGGCACTCACAAATCACCCTGGGACCTTCCCACAAGAACCCCCCCCCAGACCCCCAAATCCCCTGGGACCTCCCCATTCCCCCCATATGGGCCTCCTAAGACTCCCTTGGGACCACTGGGGCCACCCCCCAGGACTCCCAGGTTCCCCCCAGACCCTCCTGAGACAAAGCCAACTCCCCTCCTTGGTTCCCCCAGGGCCCTGAAATACCCCCTCAAGAACCTCCCCCATCTCCCTCTGGGACCCCACCAGGGCTCACAAATTCTCCCCCAGACACCCCTGGGACACCCCGAGCTCCCCTCCTGAGTTGCCAACAATCCCTTTGGAAACACCCTCATCTCCCCCCAGGACCCTTCTGGGCCCCCCTTAGAGTCCCAAAGCCTCCCCAAACCCCTCTAGGATGCCCTGAACCCCCTTCCTGGGCTGCATCCAGGCCTGCCTGACCCCCCCCATCCCCCCAGGCTGTGAGGTGACCCCTGACATGGATTTGGGGGCGCAGAAGTTTTACATCAAACTGCGGGTGCCGACACCGGAGGGAATGAGCGAGACCCTCCTGCGCTGCCGTGATGTGGGTGGGAGGGCAGGATAGGGGTGGGGGGGGGGCACTGAGGGCTCTGGGAGACCACAGGGACTATGGGAGGGCCCCACTGGGAAACAGGAGGAACGGGACATGGGAGTTCAGGGAGTCCTGGAGTGTTTGAGGGCAGTTGAGGGGGGTCTCATGGTGATTTGAGGGTCCTTGGGGGCTCGGGGCGGGGAGGTTTAGAGTAGTCCTGAGATTCTGGGGTGGGGGTGTCTCAGAGGGGCTCTTGGGGGGTTATGAGGTCTCAGGGGGGTTTTTTTTTGCATTCTCAGGGGTTTTGATGGGTCCCAAGGGGGTTTGGGGGTCCTGGAGGGCTCAAGGGGTCCCGGGAGAGTTCTGGGGGGTTTGAGGGAGTTCGAGGGGTCCTGGGGGAGTTCTGCAGGGGTCTTTGAGGAGTCTCAGAGAGCTGGTGTGATACTCCCACCCCCCCCAGGCCCCCCAGTGTGCCCGTTGGGTCGCCGGGTGCCGCTTGGCCTCGCGTGGGGGGTCCCTGTCGGCCACATCGCTCGGGGCGGAGGCTCAGGGGGTCCTGGGGGTCCAGCCAGGGAGGGAAGACCCCACTGTGCCTCCCTGGGCCCTCTCACGCCCACCCCCAGATCCGCAGCAGCTGTTGCCCCCCCCCGCTTCCAGCGCAAGTTCAAGGCCAAGCAGGTACTGGGCCCTCCCATCCCTGTACAGCCAGCTGCTGTTCCCCCAGTCCCTGGGGTGCCCCCAGTATCCCCCCCACTCTCCCCTCCCTCACAATGGCCCCCCCCCAGCTCACCCCCCGTCTGCTGGAGGTTCTGCACCGTGTGGGGGCACTGACCCCAGGCCAGGCCCGGCTGCGCTTCGTGGAGGCCTGGAGGGCCCTGCCGGAGTTCGGGCTGGGGCACTTCGTGGTGAGGTACTGGGGGCACTGGGAGGGAGGGCTGCCACACTTTGAGGTGCTGTACACTGGGTGCACTGCTCAGGGCCAGGCCAGCACTGGGGAGGGCCCCGAGTTCCAGGGGTCCCATGTGTTTTGGGGGGGGGGTGTCTCACAGGTTCCAGGGTGCCAGGCGTGATGAGATTTTGGCTGTGGGCCCCTCACAGCTGCTCCGCATCGATCCTGGCTCTGGCACCATCACCCGCAGCTGGAGGCACAGTGACCTGCGCCAGTGGGACGTCAACTGGGACAGCCAGCAGGTACTGAGGACTGGAGGGGAGCGGGAAGCACTGGAAGTGGACTGGCTCTCACCCCCATCCCCTTTTTCCCCCAGGTGCGGCTGTGGCTGACTGGGGACGTGACGCTGGGGCTGCGGGTGCTCTCGGCAGCCCCCCGGGTGCTGCACCAGTTCCTGGGGGGGTATCTGGTGCTAGGGGGGCAGCGGCCAGGGCAGCCCCCAGACCCTGATGTGCTGAGGCGGCTGATGGAAGGGGGGGATGACCCCTGATGCCCCCAAGCCCCATGCAAGAGTGGCCTCATGCAAATGCCCCCATCCCACTGTTGGCATAAGCCTCAACTCCCCCAATCCCTGTTCCTCCCACAGCAGTTGTGCACCCTCCCTCCCTCCTCCTGCTGTGCAAGGCACTTGTGCAAGGCTTGTGCAACACTGGTGTGATGGAGCTGAACGTGCTTACTGTGCTCAACAGAATGGTGGTGGCTGTTGGGCCTCACAGGCAAGGGGGTCACAGTCCATCCTCGTGTGACAAGGCCACAACTATGTCCTCATATGAGGGGTCTGGATCCCCACAATCCTCAGGGGCTCTCATCTCACTGTCCTTGTGCAATGGGATCCCACTGCCCCTCCTGGACTCCCTGGACCCCCAAATCACCCCAGGGCACCAACTTTCCTCCTGGGCTCCCCCCACCCTGGTTTCCCCACTCATCTCCCACCCTCCAAGAGACCCCCAGCCCCCTCCCCTCCTCCCCAGCCCCCCCAAGGCTGGGCCACTGCTCCGCTCTTTATTTGGGGTCACAGCACCCCAGAACCAACACAGGATGGAGGGAGGGAGGGGCAGCACCCCTTGTCTCCCCAGGGAGATCGAGGTGTACCCGGGGGGGGTCCCAGAGGGGTCCCCGGGATTTGGGGGGGTCACCGGATGGCAATGAGCCCCACATCCATTAGCTTCTGGATCTTCTGGGCGATTAGAGGGTTCTTGAGGTGCCTGGAGGGAAAACGGGGATCAGCATGGGCACAGGGGGGACCCAAGGATGGGCGGGGATGCCTGGGACCCCCCTTGGAACACCCCTCCACATCTTGGGGACACCCACTGACACACCTGGGGACGTGCTAGGCAACCCTGGGCAACCTCATGGAGACTCAGTGAGCTGTGAGAGACGGGCAATGACACCCCATCAGACCTTGGGGACCTCCAGGACGACCTCAGAGAGAGTTGGGGACCCCCCCCGCACAGCTGCAGAGGGTTTGGTGTGGCTCCTTCAAGGCTCAGTGACCACCACAGGGTGGCTGCTAACATCCCAGAAAATTCCCCCGGGACTTACTCGCTGAGGGCCTGGGGGTCCTTCTGCATCTGCTCGAGGATGAGGCGCATGGCCGGGTCCCCCATGATCTGCTGCACCTCGGGGTCGGCGAGCGCCCGGCGCCGCAGCTCCTCGGGGGGCTCTGAGCGCTGCTGCTGCGCCCGCAGGCACCGCCGCTGCCCCTCTGCCGCCTCCTGGGGGACACACGGGGCATCGTGGCGGGTCACAGGGGTGTTGTAACCCCAGGCAGCGCTGCCGCCACCTCCTGGGGGGCAGGGCGGGAGGCACAGAGATCAGGGGGGTTGGTTCACAGGGGATGCTCTAACCCCAGGCCGTGCCACTGCCCCTCCACTGCCTCCTGAGGGTGACAGTGATCACAGAGGGGCACATGCGGGGGGTCACAGGAGTCAGGGGCGGTCACAGGGGGTGCTGCACCCCCGGGTAGTGCCACTGCCACTGTGCTGCCTCCTGGGGATTACAGGGGGCTGGGGGGCCACGGGAGTCACAAATTGCTGTACTCTCAGGTCCTGCAGTGCCACTGGGGGGCCCGGGTAAGCAGGGGCTCAGAGGTGGTCACAGGGGTCAGCAGGGGCTCAGGGGGTTGCGGGCTCACCTTGCAAGTGGGGTCGAGGTCCAGGGCACGCTGATAAACCTCCATGGCCTTGGTGTAGTCGCGCATGGCCTCGAGCGCCGCCGCCTTCCGCGTGTAGCCCTTGACTGGGGGGGAGCAATGCACACAGGTACAGGTGAGAAGGGAAAATGTGGGTACAGGTGAGGGGTGGACACAGAAACAGGTGAAGGAAGGAGAAAGGAGTACAGGTACAGGTAGAGATGGCTGAAGGCAAAGTAGTGAATGGGCAGGGCCTAGCCCCTCCAGTGCCCCCCACATTCCCCACTCACTGAAGGTGGGTTCCAGGCGAATGCACTCCTCACAGTCCTGTGGGAAAAAGCAGATTCAGAGGCATCTCAAGAGCCCCAAACTGACCCCTATACCCTCAGACCAGCCCCAGGATCCCTCCTACCCCCCCCAAGACAGCCTCCAGCCCCTCAATTCAGCCCCCTGGCACCCCCAGCCCTGTACCTTGAGAGCGAGGGGGAACTCGAGCAGTTTGGTGTAGCAGGCGGCACGGTTGCTGTAGAGCCGGGCCTCATTCGGGTTGCGTCGGATCGCCTCGCTGTAGTGCCGCATGGCCTGGGGGTAATCCCCTAAAATGCGACACCCCCCCCACCTGCTGTCAGAGAGTGCCCCCCAGACGCAGGGCAGGGCCCCCCCAGCCCACCACAGCGCCCCCCCCACCTCGCTGGAAGCACTCGTTGCCCTTGTTCTTTTCCTCCAGAGCCAGGTCGGGGTCAATGTAGGCCAAGCGCTCCTGCTCCTTCAGGATCTTCTCAGCCTGTGGCAACAATTAGGGGGTTCGGGGGGAGCCCAGGAGGGCTGCCCTCCCTCCCTCCGCACCCCCCACGTCACCTGCTGACACTTCTTGAGCACATCGGGTGTGCGGTGCTCAGCCAGGGACTTGTTGTAGAAGTGGATGGCGTCCTTGTACCGCTCCTCGCGCAGGTAGGAATTCCCGATTCGTGCGTATGCCCTGGGGGAAATGGGGGGTCGGGGGGTGATTTGGGGGGAACCAGAGAGGATACTCCTGGTTCCAAACCTCCCAACTCACTTGGCGATCTGCCGGTAATCCTCCCGGTTCTCCCGTCCCAGCTCGATGGCGCGTTCACACAGTGCCCGGCACCGCTCGTAGTCACCCGTCTCAAAGTACACGGCTGTGTTTGGGGGCAGGTTTGGGGGTTCAGGGGGGTTTTGGGGTTTGGGAGGTGCTCAGGGGGGATTGAGGGGTCACGCACCTGCCTGGTTGGTGACGTAGGTCATATTGGTGGGGTCTAGCTGCTCGGCTCGGGTGTAGTGTTCCAGCGCTGCTGGGAACTCCTTCCGCTTGTAGGCGGCATTGCCCAGCTCCTTCTCCCGCTGTGCCTGATGGAGGGCGGTCACCCTAAAACTGGCTGGGACCCCCCAAACCCTAAAAGCTGCTGTCCAGACCCCCAAACCCGGCCAGCTCCTGCTCCCGCTGAGCCTGGGGGGGTGTCGCCCCAAAACTGGCTGTGACCCCTTCCCAAACCCCAAAACCTGCTCACCCGTCACCCAGCTTCTTGTCCTGCTGTCCCTGATGGAGTAGATCGTGTCAAAACTGGCTTGGACCCCTCCAAAGGTTGGCCAGCCCCTCTATCATCCCGCTACTTCCCCGCTGCACCTTCTACAGGGAGATCACCCCAAAACTGGCAGGAAACCCTCATCCCTAAACTTGATTGAGACCCTCCCTGAATCCCAACTCCTCCCCCAGCACCACAAAACCTGCTCCTAAATCCCCTAACCCCCTCACCCACAAACCTGCCATACAGCCCCCCCCGAACTCTCCTCAGCTGCCCCAAACCTGCCCACCCGCCTTGTCTATCACGCTGCTCTTCAGGTGTGCAGGGGGGTTGTGTGTCCTCAAAACACCTCCCTCCCCTCCTTACGGGTTTCGGGAACACCCCCTCACCTCCTGCTTGTTCTGGGGGAGCTCCTGGGGTGGTGGGGGCTGGGCAGGGGGCGGGGGGGGTGGGGGTGGCGGGGAGGGGGCCTCCTCCTCCTCCTCAGCCCCGCTCAGCTCCACCCCCAGCAGCACACTCAGCGTCGTCATCACCCGGGGGTCCTGCAGCTTCCTGGCGGGAGGGGCAGGGGTGCGTGGGGAAGTGCCCCAAAATCCACATTCCGATATCCACCGGGGGGGCTGCATCCCAAAATCTGCACCCCGACAGCCCCCAAGGGGGCTGCACCCCAAAATCTGCACCCTGGCCCCCACCCTGGGGGTCCTGCACCTTCTGGGGGGGCAGGAGAACATTGAAGGGGGTGTCCGGAAATCCACACCCCAACACACCGTGGGGGGGGCAGCACCCCAAAACCTGCACCCTGACCCCCACCCAGGGGCCCTGTTGCTTCCCTGAAGTCCCCAAAATCAACTAACACCCCCCAGTCTCCCAAATTCAGCCCTACATGCCCCCCCAGTCCTACCCCAAAGCCACCCCAAACCCCTTCCTAGCCCCACCCCAGTCCTCCAGAGCCCCCTCCCAGCCCACCCTGGCCCCGCAAGGCCCATTCCCAGCCCCCCCGAGGCCCATTCCCAGCCCCCCAGGGCCCCCCGAGGCCCAGCACTGACGCCCCGAGCTGCCCCGGGTCGCTGCGCAGCGTCTCCAGCAGTCGCCGGTACTCGGGGTCCCCCAGCAGCGCCCGCGTCCGGGGGTCCCCCTCGAGTCGTGCCAGCAGGTCAGGAGCACTGAAGGGGTTCAGCAGTTTCCGCTCTGAAATTAGATCAAGGACCTTTACAGGGACTCCAAATAACCTTCCTAGGATGCCCAGTCCCATTCTGAGAACCCCAAAAACTCCCCACACCCCCTCCCAGGGACCCCAAACCCCTCAGGGCCACCCAAAGCCTCTCACAGGGACCCCCAAACCTGCTCTGGGACCTGCAAGCAGCCTCCCCAGCCACTCCTCCACTCCCTGCAGCCCCTCCAGCCCCGTGTCAGCCCGCCCCTTCCCAGGCCCAAACCCCCCCAACCCCTCTCAGGCCACTCTCAGAGCCCCGCTGAGTCCCCCGTACCTGCCAGCCGCGTCTCCACCCCGCGCAGACCCTGCAGCAGCTGCTCATTCCCGGGGTCCCGTGCCAGCCCCTCCTCATATGTGGCCTTGGCCTCCTCCAGGCGCTGCAGGAACTCCAGTGCTGCTGCCTTCCGTGAGTACCCCTGGAAAAGGGAGCAAACAGGGACCCCGGGGTCAGACCTTCCCCCCTTGGAAAAGGGGAGCAAAGGGGGACCCTTGGGTCAGACACCCCCAGGGGAACCCTGACCCCTGCCACAGAGGAGACCCTTATGCCCCACCATCAACGACTACCCTTGGGGGACAGGCAGGAGGGACCCCTATGGTCAGAC